TTTGTAATGGTTCATTTTGATTTAATAAATAAACGACACCAACCTGATTGAGGGAAAAAAAAAAAAAAAAAAAAAAAAAAATAAATAAATAAAAATAATAATAATAAAATAAAAACCCATGAATTAATAGTACAATAGGTAATACTTCCAAGTTATCAAATATATATTTCTAATTTAATATTTTATAAAAGATAAAAATATATTGAATTATTTTTATATGTGAATTTATTAGATATCTTATATATATTATATTCAATTATTCTTTAAATTCTTTATATTTTGGCTTATGCATTATCCTATATATGTTGTACTCAATTATTTAGATCTTTGTCAAATTTAATTAGATTGAATAAAAATAAAATCTTGAATCTTTTTGATAATCATAAGTTAAAAACAAATAAAAATAAAAAAAATTATATAAAGAAAAACTTTAATTTAACTTTAATAAAAGTCTATAATTATAATCAATATAACAGATAATTCATAGTATAAAGAATATTCTAGCTTAAGGCTATCTCAATTTGATATTTGTTTAAAAGAAAATTATAGTTTTTAGATTATAAACCAAAGTTATAAATAATAATAACAAGTATAATATTTTTTTTGAGGTCTTGAATAAAAATTATTAAATAAATTATTCAAGTATTTCAATTAATCTTAAAAGTAAAGATTCTAATAATTTAATTTAATTTGATTTTCAATTCTCAGATTTATATTAAATTTAATATGTGAATTATAATCTACTATTATTTTTAATAGTGTTTCAAATCTTATATAAGTCTATACAAATTTATTTAATTTTAATTTTTATAACTATATTTAAAAGATATATGTTCTTTGAAACAATGTCAGAATTTAGATTAGGTTAAAATAGTTTATAAACTAATAATAATATTTTTATTCTCTAAAGATTTTACTTAATATATAAATTTATTTATATATTAAGTAATGTGACATGTGCAAAGTGGAAATATAACATGATAGGTACTTATTTAGGTAGTTGTGAGACTATTACATAGTGATAAAAGCCAGGATATAGACTTATTTCTGGATGTAAACTGGTATTCTGATAAAAAGAATAGGTAGCAGAATTAATATTAACAATAGTTAGTAGATTATTCATATATAGGTAATTGTAATTGTAATTGAAATAGCGATAAAATCTATGTATGTATCACAACTTTAAAAAAAAATAAATTTCTATATTGAGTAAGATTATAGATAAAGGAATAAATTAACTTAAATAAATTTTGTAGTCATGTAAATTAAATATTGTCAATAATAAAAGTATATGTTTTTAATACTTTTTATTTAAAAAAAAAATAATTATAATAAAATAAATTATTTTTTTTTTATTTTTTTTACCCTTGCCGTCAACTCAGATACCTCTTTTATCACCTCTTTGCCAGTCTCCCAGTGTTTCTCCAGGGTACAGGTGGTGATGTTGGGTCCTAAATACTCGTCTTAGGCCTAAGCCTCTAAGTATAGATGGAGGGAGTGAAAAGTTGCTATATTCAAGGCAAGATCTTTTACTATCAAGCCAGGATAATTATTGCCTGCAGCCACTACTACAGTATTTCAACCATTCAGTTTAGTCAAGACTTACTAGGATTTAGTCAGTGAGATATTATTGATAGGATGAGTGTACACCAGTACACCAAATTTGCTTGGAAATCGAACCCAACCTTATCCTTTCTAATCTAACCTAGCAATACATGCGGAAGGTTACAATTTATGGGGGCATGTAATTAACCATCGCAAGTGTACCCTTTAGGATAGAACATCCCATGATATAAGCAACCTTCTACAATCCCGACTGGATTCTCGCTACCAACGGACATGTGAAACTCTTACTGATAGTTGTGTGACTAATGGTTTTAGCCATCTGTACCTTTCCTTCCGCTACTGGAAAGATTCCATGAAACTTCTTCCCCCTTTTGGAAATATTTCCTAGGCAATACTTGATTAGAAAGTTTACCAATCAGATCATCTATTTTTTTGACCTATGGGTGTAGTCTACCCATAAGGCTTCTTGATCACCGGAACAACCCAAATTGCTCTCTATCATGAGTTACAGGAGCAGTGACACAAAGTTCCATTAGGGATATGTGAATTGCCCCTAGCTGGGGTTGAACCGTAGTTCATAGGTTAGCCCTACCCTGCCTTAACCCACTGGACTATGACCGGGTAGGTCTATAATAAAATAAATTATAACTTTAATTTATTATATAATAAAAATATTAATTTGATTTATAATTTGATAAAAAAAAATTAAAAAAATTAAAACTTATATTTTTAACAAAAAATATAAAAAAATAAAATTATAGTATATAAAAAATTTTTTTAAATATATTAAAATAATATTATTAGATTATAATAAAAAAAATTAAAAAAGTATTAATTTAAAAATTTAATTTTATATTAATTATTAAAATTATATAAATTAATTATTTATTTATAAAAATTTAAAATAATTTATAATTTAATATTAAGTTATTTATTTTTTATTATAATTTAATAAATAATATTTTGATAAAAATATATATTTTTTAAAAAAATAATTTATAAATTTATAATATAATAGTTAGTACTTTACAGATCAAATTATAAGATATCAGTTTAATTTTAAATAAAGGTAATTGAATAAAATAAATATAATATCTAATATTATAATCTGTTAAAAATACAGTTTTTTATAAGAAGCTAATTTATATACTAATCCAGTAGGTATTGAGATTATGATTTTTAAAAAAAATATCATGATATAATAATTATTTTGTTAATATTATAATAATTGTTGGAGGTTATAATAAATATAAGATGTTTACTTTTAAATATAATAGCTTAATAATTATTTTCTCATGCTATCTTGATACCTCTTTCTACAAGTTATCAAAAAAGTCTTATTCTAATTCAGTAATAAATTACTTTAACGGTTACTTATTTTAAAAAGACAATTAAAATAGCAATAAGTATCAATAACTAAAATAATCTATGGACAGTAAGTCTGTAAGATAAGTTTCTTGAATATTTTTGAATAACTTTAAAAGAGAGAAAAATTAAATAGTATATTTATTTGTAAGTAATATGGGTTTAGGAGAATTTTTCTACAGAGTTCTATTTATCAAATATAAGTATGATCCCTAGTTTCCTCATTTCAACTTTCTCTTAAAACATCACATAGTATGAAATAGAACTAACAGATATAATAGCAACATTAACAGCACCTTGACATGTTAGCCTCGACCAATATCCTTAGGGTGAGATCAATAGCAACAAGCCAATATGAAGTAAAATCAATATAATCTAGTAATGTGTAAAATTGTTCATGCATGAAAATACATATGTGAATAAAATAAAATCACACTAGACAAGACCCAACTAGTTGAACCAAAAAACATATAATTAAATAATAATTTTATAAATTTTTATATAATTTTATTCTTTGTATCTTTAAATATTTATATTTATATTATTGAATTATAAATAAAATTTCGAATTTTACAGACTTTCATCGATTTGGTTCCATTGGACGTAGTTGATTTCGATCTTATACATAACAATATCGTGCACACGAATAAAGAAACTCACTACTTGATGATTCACGCATAAAATAAGGCATTCTATACACAGTATTTACATTTGCAAAGTATTCTACTTTTATTTATATATAAGACAGGTAAGCGTACGTCTAAATAATTTGTATGCTATCTCTGGTATTTGAATTAAACAAAAAAATTTATCTCTAGCATTTATTAGTATCTAATCCTATATCACGGGTAAATATAACCACAGTAGGAATAAATTTAATTGTCGAATCATAAGAGACGTAATCTATCACCAAGGTGTTAATCAGGAACGAAAGCACTTCTCCCACTCAAATAATGACTATCCCAGTTCACGATTTTATATCTTTCCCATTAGCTGGGCTAGATTTAGCGGGGCTTGGAGGACGTTCTCTTTCGAGAGGCACGAATTTTAAAGCTTCGCCATCATACCTATCATGAGAAACAAAAAAAATGTTAAATGACTGACATCTTAATTAATATACAATATACAGGAAGGATAACCTAAAAACATGCCTATAATCGAAGAACAACTCTTGACCAGGATCAAGGTCTCCCATGGCATAAATTCCAATACGATGCTCCCCGTTAACCAAGGTGACTGTAGAATATTTGATACACTTATTAAAATAATGAACGCTTCTACTTAATAAAATATTCATATTATTAAAGGCAATGGAACAAGAGGATACCGCGACAATAAGTGTTCGGATCATTTGAATGATTAATAAATCGGAATTTATTGCCCTTTCGCGTAGCATCAACTACAAAATCTGCAAATTAAACAAATTAAATATTTATTATTATAGTAATATACTACTTTATAATTATGACTAACCTTTATTCAAGTTAAATAAAAAGCTAGTTCCTCGTTTGTCATAAATTTTACCACGTCGGTCTGCTTCTGCTTGCGAGATAACCTAAAGTAGATAATATAAAATAGACCAATTTTAACTAAGATTTTTAAGATAACGGCGAAGAGATAAAATGTCTTTGTACACTACTTCTCCAATATATTCGCCTAGATATTCATTTTTTTTTACATGTTCTCTAACGAAAAGCCCCCAGCCAGCCACAGTTGAAATTCCTACAATAGTACGCTAAAAAAAATACATTTTTTAATTTTTAATCAATAATCAAATAATCAAATAATTAATCGTGAAGATACAAACTTTTGATTGTGCCCTTTGAATGGCAACATTTTTGCACCCATGTCGTACTACCAGATGCGTATTGGATGGATCTACGGAGATTAGCATTCATAGGGAATTTCTTTTAAATAAGTATGGGTAGATATTGGTTTAACATTTGATCAAAGCAACAAATGACAGTTTTTACCTGAGGCAGTACATTTACACAGGTCTGGATCACACTCTCGATAACTTGCAAAACATAAACAACTCCTATTACTGCAAGTCTTTCCTACACTAGAACAATTACAACCTGGAAACCTCCGCGGACCTTTACATCATTAATTCCGTTAGTAAAGTGTATAACCCCAATCTTAACAATGCTAGAAAAAATGACTGATTCTGAAAAGTGCCCTACAATCTAAATCACAATGACAATACTTTTCGCATGGTACATTTCCTTTCTTGCACGGGCAGTTGATATCACAAGGTTTTCCTGGATGATCGCATGGGTGATATTCCGAATGATTTTCTGCATCGATTTCTGAAATGACGTACACATTGTATGCATGACTTAATAAATTTGACTGTAAATATATGTGTACATTGAAATATTTACAAACCCATTTTCGCCATCTTTTTATTCTTCTTTCGTAAATCATCAGATGAAGAGCCGATTTCTACATGTTCATCCTCTTTCTCAAGGTTTCCTAGGGATTGGAATCTTCGATAAACCTAGGAAATATCAGTAAACATGACAATAACAATTATTCAGGCCAAGTATAATTTGCTTACTTGTTTACATGTTTTCGTCATGATTATCACTGCTACGTTACAATAATTCTTGCTACCAATTAGATCGCTAGACTTCTGAAATAACGCAATTTCAATATCATCCCACTCATCTGGAGTGTATGAATCATGCTGGTCGTTTTTTAAACTTAGATAGCAGTTGACTCCACAGGGCTTGGTCTTGCCCACAGGAAGGCGATGTCGCTTTATGTTGTTTGATGGCCTAAAATCCGTTCCTGTAATATGAACAAACGATATAACCTTATGATTGTTTATAATGGACCAAAAATTTTATAATGCTTAATGCGAACCATGTAATTTACAATCGTATACATAACATCGACGACACCAAAGGCTCGAAAAAGAATGCATCATAGTGTCTGGAATAACTTCATCGGATGGCCTAAATATATGATTGAATTAATTAAGTAAATAAATTCTTGTGACCTCCATGTAAAAATCAAATATCAAAAGTTATACCTGTACTTGTCCAAATCCATTGGAATTGCTTGATTTTCACCATAAAAGTCCAATGATAACCCTGATTTACGTGCGTATTCTAAGTATCTATTGAGCTTTAATGTTGAGTGGTTTGACGTTAGATTCCATTAACAAAATTAAAAAGTTCGCTAATAAGTATTAAAAACTCTTACCTACTTACCATCATCTTGATGTCTTTTCCTTTCAATGTCTTTGCAAGTGCACTAATGACCGCTTCAAAGAAAGATGAATCCGATTCCTCGTCATCATCGCCATCAACAGGAATAGATCGATTAGCCGTAACAGGTGAACGCGTAAGTCTCGATGTAGTAGAAGGAGCTTTACTCGGTTCTGAATCTATTGTGGCAGTCGACTTTTCTATGAGAGCGAGTGAGATTCCATTTTGTAAAAAGATACGGTGCATAGTTCTGATCGCGATTTTCTCATCTAAAAGGAATTGTGCATTGTGATTTAGCGCAGGCAAGTATATGTAATAATATATTGTAATAACTATTAACCACCTTCTGGATCTTGGACACTCTTTCCAACGATACTTTCTTCGTATACATCAAAGTAGTCAACGTCATCGTCGTCCTCGCTGTCTTCTCCGAAATAGTAAAGATGTCTTAGCACAGGATCATCTTCAGTCTGAGTAATAATATTATTAATAGTTATTTATGACAATCATTCTTAATATAAATTAACAGTCTAATTTTAGCGAACCTTGGAACTCCGTGCAATAGGAGTCCATAAAGCGTATTTAGGAATTTCGTTTTGGATTGGAATAATACCGGACTGTCGTTTGTCTGAACGTTTTTTACGATGGGTAGCAGACAGGTAATCCTGCGATCCAATTTGTTGTTGAAATTATGATAATATCAATAATAATAATATTTAATTTAAAAGTACATACTGAAATTGGCGGCTTTAATAGTAACAAGTTTTTATAATTACTTGAATATTTATCTCAATCTTCGCGGAGGGGGAATTTACTTTGGTTGAATTTTTCAAAATTGTTTTCCCTTTGGACGCAGATAAACTTTCTATAGCAGGATATGCATCTCCAGTAAACTGAACGGAAAGCTCCTTAACACGTTTGTCACGTTGAACAAGCAACGCTTCTATCTTCTTACTACTGTCACGTATAAAGGCCTGTGCAAAAAAAATCATTTAAAAAAAGTATTGAAACTGTTAATCCATTTCGTATATTATATTACCTTGCTTTCCACTCTCTTCGAATTATAAAATTCTTCACGCGTTTTGATATATTCATGTTGAACCTCGTCTCGCAAAACTGCTAACGGTTTAAAATTACGCTTGTTCATAATGACATCAGGGATTAAGAAATTTGGTTAATTCGCGCGAAAATTGTACTCGTGACCCGAAATCGACGTGATCATAATGATACCTAATAAAGAACTCTCAATAGTTCAATTTTCGAATTTTTCTCTCCGGATTTTTTTAAATAAAGTTTTACCTAATTAGTCCTCGATGCATTTTCTGATATCCTGATTTATCCAAAATTCATTAATATAATATAATATGATTGTCGAGCTCTAAAAACCATAATTCAGCATTTAGAAAAAAAAGTCTACTATTTTAAGTAATAAATCAAAACCTCGATATAATCTTGTATATATTGTGTGTATTCTTTCTTTTTAAACACCAAGCGTAGGCTGCTTTTTGCTTTAGGTTTTAATTTACAAATTTAATTGCATCTTGTATTTTCAGAATTAAAAATAAAATTCTTTTGACGTGAAAACCTACTTAGTTATAAAACCTTATAATGGCTTATTGCTTTTTTTCCAAAAGGAAACTAATAAAGGAAAAAAAAAATGGTGCCAATATTATTCTTATACCTAAATAAACTTAAGATTACTTGTAATTATACTTATATTATTAATTAATCTTTATTTTCAAGCTTAAATTAAAAATATTATAAAATACTGTATATACTATATATTAATATTAAAAATGCATTTATACTATAATTAACTTTTTTAATTACTAATAAATAAATTGATTTATTAATTAAAAATATTTTCGCATTTATTACAACAATTTTCAATAAGTTTTTTTAAACTACTATTTCAACTTTTATAATTATTGACTTTATTTTTCCTTTGAATTATTTTTATTTTTGCCTTATTATTATTTTTATCATTATATATATATATTTATTTATTTTAGATTAAAAAAATAATCATAAAATATAATATTGTATTAAAGAGCATTATATAATCAAAATTTAACATAATCTTTAAAAAAAACTTATATAATCTTTAATAATACTTATAATAAATTACATTATTATTGATATTAATATTTAATTTTATTTGTCTTATAATTATTTTAGTTATTAAAATCTTTTAAAACAATTATAAACAATATAAAATAATTTTATATTTAATATACATTTATATATTTATATTTTATATTTTTATTATATTTATATTTTTAAATATCAATTTTTTGTATCTTGCTTTATTAATAATTAATACTTTGTATATGTTACATTAGTATATTATATAAAGTTTATTATATATAAATAAAACTATATTCAAGTTTAATCTATATTATTCAAATATATTGATTTGTTACTGTTAATTTATTTAAAAACAAAGACTTGAGTTAATATATTATAATATTATTAATATATATTAAAGTTATTTTAACATTATTTAAATACAATATATAGGAAAAAAAAAATATTAGAAATAATATTTTTTTTTGATAATAAAGCAATTATAAAATAAGTTAAAAAATTATCAGAAATTATTTATTTTATTATTATTTACAGTTGAATTAACTATTTAATTTTTGTTAATCTAAATATTGTTTAAAGTATTTATAATTTAAATTTACAACTTATAATGATTTTATAATTATTTGAAAATATTAAATATCTTTTCAAAATAAGCAATACTAAGATACTTATTACTAAATTAAAATGAAAATTTCAACAAGTTTTATAGAAAAAAATATTGAATATTATAGAAAATAATTATTAAATCTATTAGTTAAAAATAAAAATTATATTATTTTAAATATTATAATTTTAATATTTACTAGATTAATAATAAATGAAATGGCTTTTTTTTAAAAAATAATATATTAATTAATTATGGTATCAAATATTGTTTTGAAATAATTCATTTAAAATTAAACTTGATATCTTATAATATAAATTTTAAAATATTAATTATTATACTATAGATTTATAGACTTATATTTTTATATTTTTTATATTATTAATTAAAGTTAAATTTAATATGATTTTTTTTTATTAAGTAATTATTATTATTATTATTTTAACTTGCAATTAAATTGAAATTATTTATTTATAAAAAATCATAAAAGTTGAAGAATATATATAAAATATAAATCTTTTTAAATTTAATTTATAAAAATAATATATTATTCATTTAATAAAAGAAATTAAAATTTAAATCTTTCAATAGAATCAAAATCTATATATTATCTTTATAATTACAAATATATATAATAAAATTATTATATAAAAATAATATTATAGATCTTTTTTTTTAATTATATATTATTTAAATTTTTATTATATATAAAACTTTTTTAAAATAAAATATTTTTTAATAAAAATTTAAAAAAGATTTATTAATTTAATTATTATATAATTTATTTTCATCAATTCTATTAATTTGATTATTTAATTTAATTTTATCAATTCAATTTAATTATAATAGAATTGATAAATTGTAAAATTAAATTATTATAACAAATGTATCTATTTTGAACTTTAATTATATTTAATTTGCTTTATATTTAATTTATTTATAAAGTTTTAATAATAAAAAATTTTATATATAACAAAAATTTAAAAGATTTATAATTAAAAAAATTTCTTTTATAATATTATTATTACAGTTATTATTATTTACAAATTATTTATATTATTAGTTAATTTTTTTTAAACAAGTATCAGATTAAAATATTATTATTTTTTAAATTATATTGTTAGTAAATTTGACTACAATTTTAGATTTGTTAATAATTAATTTGAGATAATTTATTTTATTACAATTATTACAATATTAAAAGATAAAGAATATATAAAAAGAGATTATTATAAGCTTTAATCTATAAAATCAAAGAATAAGAAAAATCTTTAAACATAATAGACTATAATTTGATTAATAATTATATTTTATCATATTAACTGTTTTCAGGATTTTTAAGTTTATAAGTTAAAGATTTATTTGTAATAAAATTATAAAATATTTACTTTTTGACAAAAATTATCATAAATAAAAAATTTGAACAAAGTGAATATAATTAGAAAAATATTAATTTTGTAATTTTTATTTAATTATCTTAAAATTCTTATTGACATATATTTTATAATTATTATTTAAAATATTATAAAAATAAAAATAAAAATAAACAAAACTTTATAAAGAAGACAAAAAGCAAAGTGAATAATTCATGAAAAAAAAGATTTGACTTTTGTGACATTGGTAATTTAATCACTTTTCTAGGGGAAATACATTTGCAACCATGACAATATCTTTACCGAATTGTTTATACTCAATTATGCTTAACGGGGGAAACTTATCGCCATCATTTTCCTATATTGAAAAAATATTTAGTTTATGAGGTCTTTTTCACAAAACTCGTAAAATGAATGTTAAATAGATCATATTACATTTTCACGATCTTTATCCGACCTTTCGCACGTGACAGATATGGAATTCGCGCCAACCAAGACGGGAGCAATGGTAACAATCAATAGATTCACCAACCCAGACTTCAGGAAAGAGCTTATCACTTGAGCTCCACCTTCTACCATCAAGCGTGATATTGAGAATGGTGGAGAACTCAAAGTTTTCAGAAGGTGATCTATTGAAAGTTGACCTGTTAAAGCGAAATATTTGCAACCTCGATTTTAGCATGAAATGGTTGAAGTATTTTTTTCTCAAACTGTATGCAACAAGTTACCATCAGGACCAGAATCGATAGGGATAACTCTTGCGCCGGCTTGTTCTAATAACTTTTGTGTAAACAGAGGAAATTTTAGTAAATTAAACCTACAACCCAAAAATCAATCATCAACCAACTCAGTTGAACATATTCACATGTCTTTTATCAATATCATGACTTTGACTTGTAAAGATCCAAGGTGCTTTGCACCCTTGCGATGATAATATTCTGGCCGAAAGAGGGAAACGTAGTTTTGAATCTAATATTATTGGTTGCGGTTGCCGAACAGACGATTCTTCGCCGGAATCCAGTAATCTCGCTGCGCATACACCAATAAAAACGGGAGGAAACCTCAATAGATAATCATCTTAAATCATCAGCGAATGACCTTGTTTCCCAAACCTGTCAATCGAGGATCATCGTTCAATAAGGTGCCGATACCAATTAGTATGCCATCATGTAGGGTCCTCAATCTATATAAAATCGAAGCGGATGTGAACACTAGTTTCCTAGAGAATTAAGATTCGAGCATTCTATCGTATATTAAAATCACCTGTGAGTCATTATCATTGATTCTTCACAGCTCAAAGTTAACATTTGACCGCCACGCCCGGATATCTTACCATCGAGACTTTGGGCGTACGTAAGAGTAACGAAAGTCTCGCTATTCTTCGTCCTTGCCGTTTCATTGTCTAAAATAGTTGTGCAAAATGACTTTGCCTGTTCATAACGGGACATTTTGTAAATTGAAAGTAATTGCTGGATTGCATACGCGAGTTTATATTAGATAATCATTATGCATAACCTTGTTACGTAACTCGAAGATAATTGATAATTTAGAAATGACATGATTCATTATAATAAAAATGGATTCAACTTGTCGGTTGTCTTTAACGATAAATTATTGATATTTAAAAATCTAGGCGCCCGGAAATTTTGATTTTGATAAAGTTTTTCTACAAACAAAAAAAGGGCGTATGGTCATACACATTCAGTTTTCTGCATAAATCACACCGAGTCACAAGAGAATAGTTGTAAACTATGAAACAATGAAATAGGCACAAATAATAATATAATGGCACATTTCACAAGAGAAAAATTTGATGGATAATGAAATCTATAAATATATACAAATAAAATATAAAGATTACATTGAAATAAGCTACATTGCAGACTGTAAAAATTAATGTAATATTGTTATTTCTAAATATAGAACGAGTTGAAGTTAGTAAAGAAGTTTTCCACTTAACCCAAAATATCGACGATTAGGCGCACCTTTTTCTTGTCATTAGTAATGCAAACGTCATAATATTTTAAACGTTCGTTAAAATATTTTTCGAGCCCAGCAGCACACTTCACATATATCGTCCCTTCGGCATTGTAGAGGCGACAGTTGAGAAATATTGTTCTAACGTCCGATGCATAATCTTCGATTGATTTATAATAATTATTCTCCACTTTCGATTCGATGGTGGCAAGGTCTGCATTTTTTTTCAATAAAAATGTCAGAGATATAATTTATGAATCAGAAAAACAGAAACCTTCGAATTTATGTACCCATCGGATTTTTGATAACATTATAATAATCGGGTACTTCATCGCGATTGACAGGAGTGCGAAATGGCCAAGATTTTGGATACTTCTTTAATTCCACTGTGATACTCGCCATAATATTACGTATAGATTTTTTGTTTCCGCGAACGCTAAAGTGTCCGTTTTATTCAAATTCTATTGTAAGTCATATGATATATTTATAACCTCGATATTAGAACTAAATAATTACCGAGCCTCCATTTCTTCGTTCCAACCCGATTCTCCTACGAAAGCAGTTTTAGTGTGTTAGAGATCACTTCGTGATCTTTTTTTGTAATTCAATCGACAAAATTATAACGTTTCTAGTTAACATATCATGCAAACTTACGAATGCCCGGTATGTCTAACGGATTAATCGGTTTGTTTTTAGAAATGTCTAATCCTTTATAGATTGTAATTTTGTTCTTTCGCACGGCAATTTCATTCTTTATCGCCTAGATTGCAAACATTTCAGATTAAACTGTCGATTTACCAGAGCAAAATCAGTATTTCAATTAAAAGAAATTACCCTTCTCTGCATAGCAAGAATCTCATGTAGTTTTTTGTACTTGACCTTTTCGATCATTGTACACTGCGATAAAAAAAGATTTATAAAAAATTCGCTATGGATTCACGACAATACTATTAAAGTGAGATACTGTACATACCTGCATAATTGTGGCTTCATCGTAATCTTTTATGAAACCCATCCACAAACCTTTATCAAGAGTAATATCAGTTGTGAAACCCTGAGATGTAAGTAAATAGTCAATACTTGAAAAACAAAATTTTCTCTGCATAAAGCTGCTTATTGTTTGGCTTACATTTTTCTTGAAAAATCCCATGGCATGATTGTCAGCATAAGTCATCAGATGTTTAATGCCTTCCTTTTCCTTAAGAAGATCCTTTAAATCATTCATCAGATGAGAACCGTACCCCTGAGTTATAAAGTGGTAAATTGAAATTGGTATATATAATAACAGTGATAAATAAACCATATGAAAATAATAATAATAAAATTTCAAATTACCTTTGCCTGCTCGGTTGAACTAACAACACAAAACACAATTTCCGCAAGTTTATTCTCCGGGAACAAACGGTAGGTAATACCACCAACCACTCGATTTCCCCCTTTGATTATGGCCAAAGAATAATGACGCCTAAATAATAAATGCTACCTTTAGGTATCTTCCCAACATAACGAATAATCCAATCTTATATCACCTATGCAAGTTTACTTACTTGTCATAGACGAGACGAGTGATGTACTCAGGTGGCATGTTGGGCAACTGAATTTTAATCAAATTCTTGAGACCCGTCAATAAAGTGAGATTCTCGATGGTATCATCGTTGGTTAGTACTTTCATGGCGATGGTCCCCAGGCGTTCCTCTGCCATCGCGGGTTTCTCGTGGACAATGGGCTCATCAAGTTTAGGCTTATTCGAGCTAAACCCATTCTCGTAATCGTCAACTAACTTTCGCTTATTTGGGTTGGGACTTTCGCCAATTGCTATGAGCTGTCTTACAGTGATATAAAGATTGACAACCTTTAAATGTTTGTTTTTTTATATGGGTTGCACTCTGCGCAAATCTATAGATGCAAGGAAACACATACTGCCTTAAACTCTTTAGTTCAGCATCTTCATATTCGAAATCTTGTAATTTATCTTTGGACTCCAAAATATTATCGATTTTCATGGCTATCTCCAAGCGTGCATTAAGTATTTCTTGCGTTAACGAATTATTATGGCCGTGCCAACTGACGCGATGACCGCACGCGCACAAATCGGCACGCCCCGTGTTGTTGGTCTTTGGTTTCCAGCCGAGACATTGACACTTATTGTGTATTTCCCCAGTTTGATCTTCTGCAGTGCATGGAATGTTCCGACCAATTTTTAGGAGCTTTTCGTGTAAATTCAAAGAATGAATAGGTTTTGATGCGGGAGGATACGAAGCCATTGATTGAATCATGCATGTTCCTTGCACGATAATCTATATATAGATTATGAGCAAATCCTTACTAAGAATATAAACAAGATTTTAATAAATTGAATAGTTTGTTTTTTATAATAAATATTATTAATTATGTAATTAAATAACTCAATAAATAAATAAATAAATATTACAAGTCTTGATAAATATCCATTAGATAAAATAGATAATCGAGTAAACAATATTATTAATTAAATATCAAGTCCAAAGACTTCTTGATACATTATTTTATTTTTATTTGTAATTATTATGCAGTGCTTAAAATTTCTAGAAAATATAATTGTTATTCATAAAATTTTAATTAATCTAATTCAATAGTCATAAACAATGTTTATTCATTTTAAATTAAGTGATCGTGAGATATTGTAATATGCTATTATAAACACTGGGACAGCAATTTTATAGGCCTAAAGTGTTTCTCTAGTAGTTTGTTATCTTTTGACATGCAACTGGCATGTTAGTGAACGTGATCACGGCATTCACCCAGACACGATATCCGTTTTCATCTTGTATTTTCATAAATTTCGTGCTGCTTTCTATGTATTTTTCTTTTTTTTTTGGAGTTGAACAAATCAAACTAATGAATTATGCAATGAATTATTATTATTATACATCAATTATTGTACTCTCAAATAATTAGCAGGACTACAATAATTTCATGAATTTCTGATCCTCTTATTATTTTGATAAATGTCACCGCCTCTATCGATATTGGTATTGCGAACACGTTCGTCAATCCTCTGTGGTCTTTCCCGTCTGCGGTAATCATCCCTATGAGGAATAGACGTATTTCCTCTATTGTACACACGGTTTCTGTCATCTCGACTCCAATTTACATCACGCCTATCAGTGGGCCGAGGCAGATTTCTATATTCGTTAGAATAACCCCGGTTTTCTTCGCGCGGCCTTTTATTTCCTCTTAAATCTGAAGAGCTTGGAGGAATGTAATCCTAAGGTGGAAAAGTAATTTAGGATACAAATCGTTCCGTCTTAAATTTCGATCCGTTTATAATAATTACCTTTGCGGGAATTATCTGACTTCCACCGGGCTTAGTTGCAATATCACGTTCAAACTCAGGGCCAGAACACTGTAAAAAAGCAAAAGCAAATAAGCAAGGATACATTTAACAGAATGAAAAATGAATATTTGAATTTATAAATACATCGACGAAACATTTGCGATCGATCGAATCAGTTATTAATTTTTTCCAAAGTTCGTTTCTTTCTAAAGAGCGCCGGTTTCCAAGAATAAATAGCGAACATCGTGCTCGCGTTAAGGCTACGTTCAACCTCCTTAGATCCTTCAAGAACCCAACACTGTTTTCTTTAGACAAATAATATCGTAAGTTAGCAAAATAAGCTTAACAAGTTGTAAAAATAAATAAATAAATTTCATACCTTCGCCAGCTCTCACACAGGAGAATATTATGATATCTTTTTCTTTGCCCTGGAAACCATCCTACATCAAATCACATACCAAGGAGAAAAATCATGTGATTCTCTGATTTCGATTAATTGCACAAAAAAAAAAAATCGAGAATAAATAATACAAACTTACCACTGTGTTAAATTCTATATTTTTGTACAGGTCACGGTTAAGTTTATTTCTAAATTGTTTCCGAATCTCCGAGAGCTGACTTTTATAGGGCGTTATCACACCAATGCGTCCTTTAAACTAAATAATTGATTTTACGACTAAATTAAAACAAGTTAATCACCAGAATTATCGTAATCCTAAGGAAGAACTTACATCAACTTCAGGAAAGTCTATCACCAATCTATCTACCAATTTGACCGCAATCTTTGCTTCCTCCGAGTTTAAAAGAGAATTTTTTTCGTATGACATGACACCTTTGACGTCAAAAAACTTGTAGGGTGCGAAAATGGATTTGACATGCCAAGGTTGCTTTCTACTGGTCTCTAACCCTTCTGCGTTCTTTAGTTCGGAATTATAAAAGAGAAGGCTGGGAAAGCGGCTAATCTCAGGGTGCATCCGGTATTGTGTTTTAAGCATATGTATTGACTTTGGAACACACTTTTGCAACCTATTAAACAAGCTCTGCTCGTAAAAGTATCGCGTCGCAACACGCGAAAGAACGGTTGGTGGCAACTGGTTAGGATCCCCAACAAGTATACATCGACTGGCATTGAATTTTAATGGAATTATTGAACTCAATTCAATCGCCTGCGCTGCTTCATCAATAATGATGGTCTCGAATTCTTGTGCGAAAGCTGATAACCTATCGTGTCCGCTACCAGCTAATGTTGCACAAATGATGTCGGCTTCAGCAAGATCTTTGTCTTTGTTATTTCGAATGTTCTTTTCTTTCTTATCAGATTGATCGGTTGAGCTTGACTCGGAGGTTTGCATCGATTTACGAATCTCACCCATACTTTTGTTAATTTGTGCAATATCTGCTTCCAGAATTGACGCATCCCATCCGGATATCTTTGGATCTTTAAGTGATCGATTTTTTTCGTTTAAAGATTTCTGCAGTTCGATCAATCGATTTTTATTTGTCTCTTTAGTATTATCCGCTCCTTCGTCCGAGTTATCATTTTTTCCGAATCGAACAACTTTAACTTTGATCAAATTCCCATCAGAGTCAAATATTCCCTGATTTAGACGTCTTTCCATTTCGTCAACAGCCGCGTTTGAAGGAGCACAAGCTAAAATGCGATGCTTGTAAGTTGCTGAATTTGCTTTTAATGCACTTATTATGCTGACGATAGTGCTTGTTTTTCCAGTGCCCGGAGGCCCTTGAATTAATAAGAACCCATGTTTTTTCTGAAGAACTTTACAGATCGCCTCCGCCTGTGATTCATTTATCTTATAGAGCTTCATATACTTTTGAACATCTCCTGAGGCGATAGGTGAAAATGAGGGAATTTCAGGTTGTAGCAATAAATTGCGAAAACTAAAGTATGGCATCGCTTTCAAGGCGGCATATTCTCGCGCTGCAGGCGTTAAACTTTGTCCGACGGAATGTAATTAGTAAGGATGTTTTGATTATTAATATTCGAATAAATACATAAAAGAAAAAAATATCTCACCTAAAAACCTTCTCTATAATCCACTTGCTTCCTGGCCTCAGGTCGCTCCTGAAATTATTCAAACTGTTTTCAAAATAGCATTGCATGCTTAGTTTGTTGGATGAACTCCATTTCACCAATGAAAGGCATTTCTTGGGTGGAACATTGCGGTCTCTTTTGTCAGGCTGCTGCTTCTCTTCAGATTGTTTTATCAGCAAAAGGTCATTTTCGCTTAGGGTTCTCAAAGGTATATTCGAAAAAGCTGAAACTTCCACTAAATCATCAACTGATGCATTATGTTCGATGATTACGTTATAAACGTCATTTTCATCGACCTCCTCCTTGCTCTGCATAAACCCTTGCCATAATTCAAGAATTAGGAGGGGCTCAAAAATTTCTTGATATTCCTCCACGGAATTGAAGCGATCGGGTACTTGTTTATATGATGACTGAGATGAATTTGGCGGAATATCCCCTACGGTATCGAAGTCCCAGGACAATACTGTTTTGTATAAATTTTTCAAATTAGGCTTTAACCGATGCATGACATCTTCTTTCTCTCGACGTTCTTTTTCTGCTCGTGCACGCCTGACATCATAAGAGATCACTTCGTTTATGTCAAGCAATTTCGTCCGTCGGGGAGCTGCTGGAGGTTTGCGCAGTATTATTGGGTCCGACTTCTTATGTTCGCCCGAGACCGAACCCGCATCAACTTTTAATTCCGGAGTATTCGTCTTGGTAGGTATAATCTTATTGTTCTCTCTTGCGTAACTCATTGATTCCCGTATCTTCTCTCTCTGTTCCTTAACGAATGATTCCCACATTTTGCCCACCTGTTGCTTAGGGGCTGATTTTTTGGCTGGATTCATTGAAATCGGAACTCTCTTATTTTTACGAGAAGTTTTGATTATTGGTTTTTTGACGGTGGAAGCCGAAGGTTTGGATGCAGGCTTCACGGGAATTACACTTTGCGAGGGAACCTCATTAGAGTCCAAAACAATTGGATTCAGTTTCGAGCCAAACTCATCGAGATTCGACGATATGACGGAATTTTTATCAGATAATAATAGTAAATCTGCAATAAGATTATAATGTTCCCCACTTGCAACAGTATGATATATCACATCGCTGCCTGATAAAATGATCTTTAATTTTCCGCGCAAAGAGGAGTCAAGTTGTTGGTTATGCTGTTCGAGTATCCTCGTGCCCACCTTTAATGATTCAAGTGACAACTCGATGGGTAAATTTGCTTTCTGGAACGCGACTAACAGCCATTCCAGAAGATCTTTAAGTATATCCTTAAAATCGGTACTATCCACCAATGATTCGGTGAATGCCGGGACCCATTCAAACAAGTGTTTACATTGATTTGGAAAATGTACTGCCACTTTCATAAATGCCTCGCTTTTAAAGGCGTTCCCTACAACAATCTGTGGAGGCTGCGAAGAGTGTTCCCAAAATGTTTTTTCTAGTTTTTCAAAGAGCACTTTAAGACACTTCCCAATTTCAATAAATGTGCTTCCCTCGGTAGTGGTTGTCACAAATGAATTGACCAAATTACAAAAATCAATAGTTCTATTACAAAGTCCATGTTCAACAGCACTCGAATCTAAGCAGCTCAGAATCCTCCTAACACCTTTCCAAAATGCTGGTAATTTTTTTGTAAATGGATAATCTTGTTTCTTTTTACCTAAATTGCGAAAGTGTTGTATGATGACTTTCACCAAATCGCTGTATCCACTGTTAACAAAGGTGTCCCACTTGATCAAATAATTTCCGCTCATATGCTTCCATGCCCATTTTCGAATGGAATCGAATTCATGAACAGAAGCAATAAAGACGCCAACCGGAAATTCTTGTCGGAGCGTTAATGGTATATCGCTTAGTCCGTTGGCTTGAAACACTTGAGCAAAAAGCAAATTGACGGAAGGATTTTTGAACAATCTTAAACTTGTTAACATCTCATAAAATATTGTGGTCAATGTCTTTTCTACTGATTTCCGTGACGGCCCAACATCCGAGGATTCCGCATCCGTGTGTTGAAGCTTTAATGTTGTCAGAGCAGTGATGATTCTATCTTCGTCCCAAGAATCAATAATTGAGAATGTTCTATTAACGCTCCGAGTATCATTATATGCAACTAAGTTTCTGGTGTAATAAATGTACAGATTAGATTCCCGGAAGAAGTAAATAATAAAATTTTCACATTAATAAGGACCTTCGCTTTAATTTTGTTTTTTGCGCATGATATGTTCTAACACAATCAGTACAATTCAATAGCTGTTCGGTCAATATTTTTTTAAACCTTTCCACTGATTCATCGGTTTCGATCAGTGAAAATAAGTCCAAAAGTTCCGTTGAAATATCCCTGAACTCATCGCTGCAGAAAAAATGCTTCTGAAGGCCATCTTCATGACAGGCTAGAAGATAGGTTATTCCATAAGAGTAGAAGTGTTGTGATGCAATTGGGTTTGATTCTTGCTTGAGGTGCAGTAGTTCGATGAGATTTTCATATGAAAATTTTTTCCTTGATGCTGATTCATTCATGTTGACAAATGTTTTTTCAGAACTTAGGACCTGAAACATAAAAGACGAGAAGAATATCTGGATTATGACTGCATTTGGCAATAACGATAATTAATGTTTCTTATTGCCGTACCTGCTTGAATTTTCTTATTTTTCGATCAATAAAATCTACTCCCTGCAGTAGGTCTAATCTAAAAGAATCGATTGAAAACAATATCTTTAATTTATCCCAACTTGTTCTTATATAAATTAACGATTGACCGGGGCCACTTGACAACTTTCCGTAAACTCCTTCATATTTGGTCAAAAAACCAAGAGAAAGGGTTCTTATGAAAAGCAGTAGCAATAATGTGCCATGAACTACCGAAGCTATAAAGTCATGCCATATTACACCTTATGGTTAGAAAAGGGTTACCATACCTTAATAAGGTATGTCAAAATATCTATTCTCAAAAAAACACCTTTCTTAAGTTTTTGGAATCTAAATAAGAAACTGAAAAGTGGAGGGCAAATATGAAAGATATAAACATCAAATTTAAAAATTCATCGACGTATATATGATTCTTACAAATATAATGATGAAAATGATGTTTTTCGCAGTCAGTCAAAATTTTGGATGTATGCGTGATGAAATATGTTTTTTGTCCAATGATAACATGAGAAATTTATACGCGATTTTGTTTGTCACACGAAAATACAAAGTACGTGTATTCCAGCGTTATCAAAGTTATCGACTAATCAACAAATTTACTGTACATACTGTATATACAGTAAACTAGAATAACAAAGAAAGTTATATTAAGAATTTGTCAAATTAATTAATATTTGAAGACTTTATTAAATTTTTTTTAGTAAATAAATATCATTTCTTTATTTATTTGTATATTACAAGATATACTGTATATTCAGAAAAAAACAACATTTCTCATATATTTGTAGCAAGTAAAATGTTAAAATTATATTGTAAAAGAAATGATAAATCAATACAATAACTAAACGATACCAAGCAGTTATTAAAAAAAAAACTATAATACGTAATTATATTATAAGTCTTATTTTTTTTTTTTAAAGTAGGTAAACATTATCTCTTTATTATCATAAAAATTTTAAAATAATTTTACATTGTAAAAGTGATAACATCTCTCACATGATCAATTGATCAGTGAATCTAATGCTAGCTTGCTTACAGAAACTATCTAAGCGATATGGAAAATAAATATTAAAACTGATATACATCCTAAATAGTGCTGAGCAGCTATGAATACCTACTCAGATTTATATGTAAAACTATAAGAAGTTGAAAAATAAAAGAAAAAAAAAATACTAAACAAAAAAATAAGTACAGTAACACTAGTTGTGAAGCTATGGATACTTCAAATGAAGCGCGCCACACTGGTAGTTCCATTTAACTGAAGTACTGTTGCACTTCCAGAAATAGCCAAGCTACTGTTCAAAGTGTACAATAGTATTGATGATATATTTTTTTAATAGATGATTGGTCATAGTGATGGTATTGTTGTTGTATTGATATAATTTGTGATTGGTTTGTTTGTTGGTAATATGATTTTGTTTTGATTGTTATTGCCATAAAAGATTTTGTTTATGTCGATCAGGATATAGTATTTTGGTTATATGGATTTTTTTAGAAAATTGATAGTATTTGATTGGTTAAGTTTGGAATGTTAATCAATTGACAGGAGTAAACTGATTGTAGTTTTTTGTTGAAAAATTTTTTGAGTGAAATTTTTGGATTTTTGGTGGCGTAGCAAAATATGCTGGGCAATAGTAAGAAGTAAATATTGAATATATTGTTAGTGTTTCAAGTTAACAATATAAACAATTTTGATATAAAGTTTGGTTTTTTGAGATAATAAAAAGTCTTCCAAGCAGAAAATATAGTTATTTAAAAAGATTTGTGTATTATTAAGAAAAGAAAATAGGAAAAACCCCAAGGAAGATTTATAAAGAAGTAATTGCCATGTGCCTTTTTTCATACAATCCAAAAAAAAAGCAAGGTCCTCAAACTTGTTTTTCTTTAGTCAGAGGTTCCATCCCGATACACCAGTATACTTCTTTAATTTTCTTGAGGCTCTTGTAATAAAGAAAGAGGAAGTGTGAAGGACTTTTGGATATTAAAAGGCAAAAAAAAATTTGTGTACGGGAAAGAGTTTTTTTTTTTTAATTATGTTTTCTATATTATAAGTCTTATATATAGTAAAAATAATAATTATATTATAAGTTTTATATATAAGTAAAAATAATATTTATAAGAAAATTTTTTATTCATTGTTTTTTATTTTATTGATTTTTTGTAATTTATTAATAAAATTTTTATTTTAACAATACAAAAGAAATTAGATTTAAAAAATATATAATTCTATTTAAATTAGTAACATAAATAGATAACATAAATAATATCAATAAGTTTATATATATTAAAAAATTTAATAACAAAAATACAATAGTTTAAATTATAATTTTTAAAATATTTGGAACTTGAAATATTTCAAGTTTTAATTTTTTTAAAACATTTAAAACATGTGACATATAATATGTAACACATGATATATAACACAAATCCCAAAAAGTATTTGATATTATTTTAGTATAAAGTTTCAAATATCAATATTTTTATATACAGTCTAATATAAAAAAAACCAGAATTATATATTTAATTATAATTTAATAATTAATTAATTAAATTATATAAAACTTTATAAATAAGTTCTTTGATATTTTAATAATAAGTTTGTTATAAGTCATATATATAAATATAATAATAATATTTTTTTTTGAATTTTTATTATTAATATACCAACAGTTGAAAAAAAATTAATTCTTAATTTTTATATATGGATAATTATTTTTGAAAATGAATCAAAATATTAATAAAAATTTTTAGTGACCTTTTTTTAAATATATTATTTAATGACCTTTTTTTTATATATATAATTTTAAGTAACTTTTTTTAAAAAGTTCTAAAAATTCTAGAAAATTTATAGAAAATTTTATACAATTTTAGAAAATTCTAGAAAATTCTTTAAAAGTTTTATAAAATTCTTTAAAAGTTTTATAAAATTCTATAAAGTTCTAAAAAATTCCATATGGTTTTTAAAATTCCATAAGTTTTTAGAATATTCTAGAATATACTATTAATCAAGATATTAATCAATTATTTTTATATACAGTGGTGATCAAAAAAAATTGCACTGATATTTTTTATTATAATTTAATAAATAATAATTTAATTGAGATAAAACTTTAAATATATATATTTTATAATCTAATTAATAAATTTATT